GGGCATGGTGACTTTAATCCCGGCACTTGGGAGGCAGAGGCAGGAGGATCTTTGTGAGTTTGAGGCCATCCTGGTCTACATAGTGAGTTCCAGGACAGCTGGGGCTACAAAGAGACCCTGTCTCAAAAAGACAAAAAAAAAACCCTCTCTTTTGAGACAGGGTCTCCCCATAGCCTCAGCTGACCTGGTAGACTAGGCTGGCCTCAGTCTCACAGAGACCTGCCTGCCTCTGCCTCCTGAATGCTGAGATTAAAGGCATGTGTGACCACACTCAGCTTTTTAAGAAAAATTTTTTGAAGTGTGATGGTTAATCGTCATTGTCAACTTGACTGGATTTAGAACCATCTACAAAACATACCCCTGGACATAAAGCACAATGTTTCTGGAAAGGTTTAACTGAGCAGGAAAGACCCAGCCTAATGTGGATCATACCATCCCGTGGGCTGGGATCCTATATAGAGAAGAGAAAGCAAGCTGAGCACCAGCATCCCTCTCTTTCTGCTTCCTGACTGCAGATGTAAGGTCACCAGTTGCCCCGATGCCCTGACCACATATGTTGGCCTGTGTACCTGCTCAACTACATACCAAAATAAACCCTCCATCCTTTGGCTGCTTTCATCTGATATCCTGCCACAGAACCAAAAAGAGAAGTAACTAACACAAAGTAAAAATAAATTTTTTTCATGCACAAACCCATATACAGACACATACATATACATAAATAAATAAATCTTTAAAAATAAATAAAATTAACTTTAACCCAGGCATGATGGCACAGCCCTTTAATCCCAGAGTCAGGAGGGTCAGGAGTTCTCAGTCACCCTTGGCTATACAACAAGTTTGAAACCAGCCTGGGCTACAAAAGACTCTGTCTCAAAATAAATAAATAAAATACTAAGTTAAAAACGCTTTAAGCCTCCTGATGGTCCTGGACTCTTCCTGGCCTTGAGAGGCAGGTATGCTAGAGCCATTGTCCTCAACACAGTCTCTGGGGTACCCAGCAGCTCTCCAGAATGTACCAGAAATACAAATTCCCCCAGTCCCCAGACTGCAGAATCTGACTCTAGGGGTAAAGTTTGTTCTTTGTGGTTTCTTTGCTTTCTTTTTTTATTTTATGTGTATGAGTGTATTGCCTGCATGTATGTGACTGCACCTGTGTCATGCAGTGCTGCGGAAGTCAGAAGAGGGCATCGGATGCCCCTGGAACTGGAGTCAAGGATGGTTCGTAGCCACCAGGTGGGTACTGGGAATCAAACCCAGGTCCTCTGCAAGAGCAGTCAGTGCTCTTAACCGCTGAGCCATCTCTCCAGCCTGTTTGCCTTTTTGAAGCAGCGTCTCCCTATAGCCACAGCTGGCCTGGATCTCACTATGTAGACCAGGCTGGCCTTGATCTCACAGAGACCTGCCCACCTCTGCCTCCCAAGTACTTGGATTAAAGGCATGTACCACATGCCCAGCTCAAATTTTTTATATTTTGTGTGTATAAGTGTTTTGCTTGCATGTATATATGTGCACCACGTGCATGCAATGTCAAAGGAGGTCAGAAGGTGTCAAATCCCCTGGAACTGGAGTTACAGTTGTTAGCTACCATGTGGGTGCTGAGAATCAAGCCCAGATCTTCTGAAAGAGCAGCTAGTGCTCTTAACCACTGAGCCATCTCTCCAGCCCCAACCACTTAAGGTTTAAGGAAACCTCCAAGAGACCCGATGCCCTAATGCACTGTTTCTCAAATGAATAGACCCAGGGATACACCTGGGGGTGTGGCCAGAATGCAAACTCTGGTCCAAGTAAGTCTAGAGTGGGCCAGGAATTCTGTGTGTTTAACAAGCTCCCAGATAGTGCCGATGCTGATGTTTGATACTAATGATGTTAATGTTGACACTGATACTGATGCTGGGGCTGATACTGGGATTGATGTTAATACTAGTGCTGATACTGATGCTATTAATGTTGGTACTGATGCTGATGCTAATACCAATTCTGATATTGATACTAATTTTGATGATGCTGATACTGATGGTCTGTAAGCCACTTTGAATAGTGAAAGTCTAAATGGCAAATAACTACTCCATAATGTTTTGTAGGCATGTAGCCACACCCTTTCCTTTAAATTCTTTTTTTTTTTTTTTTGCAAAAAGAATGTGGATTGAGGAAAAAAGAGGAAGAACTTCCAGGAGTGAAAGGGATTCCAAAGGAGGAATCCACCTGCCTGACTTGAAAAAGGGTCTAGTGTAGCCTGGGCTTGTCTCAAACTATGTAGCAGAAGATGACCTTGAACTTTTTTTTTTTTTGGTCTTTTTGAGTCAGGGTCTCCTTGTAGCCCCAGCTGTCCTGGAACTCACTATGTAGACCAGGTTGGCCTCAAACTCACAAAGATCCACCTGCCTTTGCCTCCCAAGTGCTGGGATTAAAGGTATGCGTTACCACGCCTGGCTAACCTTGAACTTTTTATGTGTATGAGGGTTTTACCTACACACATGTAAGTGCATCTGTGCATGCAATGCCCACAGAGGCCATTAAGATTGTGTCAGATTCCCTGGAACTGGAGTTAAGGACAGTTGTTAGCCACCATGTGGGTGCTGGGAACTGAACCTAGATCCTCTCAAAGAGCAGCCAGTGCTCTTAACCATTAAGTCATCTCTCCAGCCCCACTTCCCTTTTTCCCCAGAGCATGACCCTGAATCCTCTGGATCCTCCTGCCTCCACTTTCTTTAGTGCTGGGATGACAGGTATGCATCACTATCCAGTTTATGTGGTACTAGGGATCAACCAAGGGCTTTGTGAACACTAGACAAACAAACACGCTACTGACAGGCTACAGCCCCAGCCTCCTTTTTTTTTTTTTTTTTTTTGTCTTTTTGAGACAGGGTCTCCCTGTAGCTCCAGCTGGCCTGGAACTCACTATGTAGACCAGGCTGGTCTTGAACTCACAGAGATCTGCTTGCCTCTGCCTCCAGAGTGCTGGGATTAAAGGCAAGCAACACCATACTCGGCCCTAGCCTCCTGTTTTCTATTAGCACAGTCTGCCAGTCCCTGATCTATCATAGCTTAATATCCCTGCTCCCACCCCCCACCCACCTGCAGGCTCCAATTTAATTCCATAAAGCACCAGCTGCAATTCCAGGAAGTGCCCTATCTCCCCAATGCATCTAAAAGCCAAAGCTAGGTCAGCTCGGTGCCCCCTCCCACATTTCCCAGCTATGTCCAACATGCATGCCTCCAGCCTCCCTCAGTCTGAGACTGGACCTGGATCAAGACGCTGAATGGATCTGATGCCCCCACACAAGACACAAGACACGCTTGGGAATGGGGTTCTGCATATCCTTTATCTGTTGTGGGGTCAGCGGCCCTCCAGGGCCCGATCTCGAGCAATGACGGACTCTTCAAACTTGATCATGAGTGTGGTGCCCTTGTGCCAGTGAGCTGTGACCTTGGCAGGGAAACCGCTGTGCGTGAGTACGGCCTCCACAATGCCTGCAGTGAAGCTGGCACAGTTGAGTGTGCTGTTCTCCTTAGGTACCGAGATGTAGGTGTTGATGAGTGGCTCCCTCTCAATGATGTAGAAAGTGCGGGCATCATCGTTGGCCTGCTCCAGCTTGTCTGCCTCCTTGCCAAACAGCGCCTTCCACACGGCACCCTTGACAAACAGCAGTGCACCCAGCACCTTGGTCTCTCGCCGGGCACCCTTTTCGCGGGCCACGAGGGCATCTAGGACTCGGGCACCCACCTGCCGGCCCAGGGCGGCCAGGCGTGCCTGAAGCTCGGCCACAGAGAAGACTCGGCTCTGACAGTGCTGTACCAACTCGGAGAACAGCAGAGCGAAGGCGCTCAGGCTCACCTCAGTGCGCGGCCGTACCAAGGCCCGCTCCAGCAGCGCCGATTTCCCACGGGTGAACCGTGCCTCCATGCCGCCACCCTGGAGAGAGACCAAGATAATGTGTTTCAGATGAGTACCAAGAGCCAGCAGAAGAACCCGGAGGAATCTCAGGCCATCCACCCAATCCATCTGCATCATGGATAGGCACTACAGCACCAAACAGATAAGGAAAGAGGGTGATCAAATTGGGTAAAGTGAATCTCCATAAGGCTAAGCTAGCAAAGCACAAACACAGGAGGGTGGGTAGCTTTACAACCTTGTCTGGCAGTAAGTATGGGGAAAAGAAGAAAGACAACAAGTGCAGAGGAGCACAATGGAAACCACTAACCCGGAGACCCAAGACCATCCCATTTACAGGAAGCATGTAGACTCAGGGTGTGGCTCAGTCAGAATGCTCGTCTAGTATGCAGGAAGTCCTGGGTTCAATCAGCAGCATCACATAAAACCAGGCAGTTGTGGTAGGATATGCAGAAGAGGCCAAGGCCAGCCTGGGCTACACCTTTCAAAAAACATTTAAGGGGAAGGGGCTAGAGAATTGGTGCAGCAGTTAAGAGTGGTTAAGACCCAGGTTCACTTCCCGGCACCCACATGGCAACTAACAAAGATCCTTAACTCTAGTTCCAAAAGATATGACGCCCTCTTCTGGCCTCCTTGGGTTGGTGCATGTGGTGTACTTGCAAGCAGGCAAAACATTCATACATATAAAACAGCACTCTGGGTGGCAGAGGCACATAGATATCTGTGAGTTCAAGGCCAGTATGATCTACATAACAAGTTCCAGGCCAACTGGGGTAACAGAAAGTCTCTGTTTCAAAATATCGAAGGGGGGGGGGCTCATGCAGCCCAGCACTACTGGATCTCTGTGAGTTCAAGGCTAGCCTGGTCTACATAGTGAGTTCCAGGCCAACTGGGGCTACAGGGAGACCGTGTCTCAAAAAGACCAAAAAAAAAAAAAAAAACAAGTCCAGTACCACATTTCTACAATCTGAGCACTACAGAGGTGAAGGCAGGAGGATCAGAGGTCCAAGGTCATCCTCAGCTAGATACAGGGTTTGAGACCAGCCTGGGCTACATGAAACTTTGTCTCAAAAACAAACAAACAGCCTTCCTAGTGCCTTTAGCTTAAAAAGCTAGTACAGGGCCAGCAAGATGGCTCAGGAGGTAAAGATGCTTGCCTCCTGCAAGAACAATCAGTGTTCTTAACCACTGAGCCATCTTTCCCAGCACCCACAGGGCAGCTAACAACTGTCCATAACTCCAGTCCCAGGGGATCCGACAGCCTCTTCTGACCTCCACGACCATTGCACAACACGGGTGCACTTACCTGCATGCAGGCAATACACACATACACATAAAATAAAAATAAATTAATTTAAAAAAAAAAAAAAAAGATGCTTGCCTCCAAGCCTGTCACTCTTGAGTTTGATCCCCAGGACCTACATCGTAGGAGAGAACTGACTACCATAAGCTGTTCTGACCTCCATCCAGATACATACACATACACACACACACACACACAGATTAAGTGAAAGTTTAATTTTTTTTTTAAAGCTAGCACATGGCAGGGGAGGGCCAAGACTTAGGGCAGAGAGGTCCTATGGTGGCTACACTTGGGTATGGTGGTACATACCTGTGATCCAGCACTTCAGAGGCTGAGGCAGTAGGATCACAAGAGAGAAGGCCAGCCTGGGCTATACACTGAGCTGCAGGACAACCTAAGCCATAGTTGGCTTGTGTGATGGTTCATCTTCACTGTCAACCTGACTGGATTTAGAATCACCTTGGAAACACTTCTGTGGGTGTGTCAATCAGGCTGTTTTAACAATCAGAGAGGATTTACTGAGGAGAAAAGGCACACCCTGAATGTGGACAGTACTATCCTAGGACTGGGGTTCCAGACTGAGTAAAAGGGAGAAAGTGAGCTGAGCAGCTACACTCATCTCTCTGCTTCCTGACTGTGGATGCCTGGTCACCAGCTGCCTCACCTCCTGCTCCCATGCCTTCCCTGACATGATGGACCAGACCCTCAAGGTATAATACATAAACCTTTCCTTTTTTTTTTTCTTTCTTGTCTTTTTGAGACAGGGTCTCCCTGTAGTCCCAGCTGGCCTGGAACTCCTTATGTAGACCAGGTCAACCTCAAACTCACAGAAATTCACCTACCTCTGCCTCCGGAGGGTTGGGATTAAAGGCATTCGCCACCACACCAGGCTTTAGTCAGATATTTGACCACAACAAGAAAAGCAAGTAACACATCCTACCATTAAAAAAGCTTAAGGGGACGGGGCTGCAGAGATGGCTCAGGGGTTAAAAGCACTGGTTGCTCTCACAGAGGACCTGGACTCAGTTCCCAGCACCCACATGGCAGCTCACAACCATCCATAACTCGTTCCAGGGGTTCCAACCCCCTCTTCTGACCTCCAAGGCACATTATGTGACATGGCTGCACTTACATACATGCAAGCCACATACTCATACACATAAAATAAAAATAATAAAATATTTTAAAATGTTTTTTAAAAGATGAGTGATGGAGAGAGGACACAGGACAGTTCATGATGCTTTCCCTAACTGGTGTGCACTCCAGCACTGACTACCCTGGGGACCTTTCTGCCCACCCCTCCAGGAAAGCCAGAGACTGGGCAGAAGCATGTAGGGATGTGTCAAGCTCAAGGTAGGAGGAGGAGCAAAAAATCCCCAACCCCATATCCTGGGGTGGAGGTTTGATTAGTCAAGAAGGAAGACTGTCTCCACGGTTACCTCAAAGCGCTGGACGTTTTAAGACTGGAAGGAGACAGACCAAGAAGGGAGCCCATCCAATCACAAACTCTCTGGAAAGATGGATGAATGGTGGAAAATGAGTGGAGGAACTAGGAGGAGGCGCTGCGAGCCTCCTGGCCTCCCACCGTAAGCAGGAAGAGAAATGACAACTGAAAGAATGCAGGTGCATGGGGTATGGGGTTGGAGTCAAGAGCTCGCCCCTCACCATGTATGCCCCAGAGACAGAGTGAGGATGGGAGGTCCTGCAGGACAGCTGGGAGGCGATGGGAGGCGAGGGTGCGGGGGTGGGACGACTGCAAGGCCTAGACCCCTCCACCTGGCTACGCTGGGATGCTGAACTGAGATACCCAAAGGCGGGACCCCACCCCAACCCCTCAAGATAACCCAAGGTGGACAGATTGGGAGGACGCAGCTCAGGATGCACAGAGAAAAGATAAAGCCCGATCGGGCCTGGGGCAGGATGGTCGCAGGCAGGGAAAGGGGCTCACCAGGACCTGTGTGGCCGACAGTTCGGCTGAGCTGCTTTACGGCGTCGTACTTTACGCAGGCGCAAGGCAAGCTGTATGAATAGGAGCGAGGAGGGGCGGGGCCATGTGCGCACAGGCGATGCAAGTGAGTAGCCGCCAGGGGGCGCGCGTCTCCACCCCGCCTCCCGCTCCCGGCTGACAGGGAGTCGGCTCCATGCTAGGTTGGAAGGACTTGCTATTGAATGGTTAGCCTTTGTGCAGGGGGACAGTAACACGGGCGCTGTCACTTACTCTGAAGTACAAATCTCTTGGGCACTTGTCCTCAGGTATATTCATGAGTCGGGGGCTTGGTGTATTTATTTGTCCATCCTAACTCATGATTTTCTATATGTGGATGACCCACAGTTCCCAGCATCGACATGGTGACTAACAACCATCAGTAACTCCAGTTCCAGGGCACATCCTCTTCTGTCCTCCATGGGCATTGCACAACACAGGTGCACCTACATACATGCAGGCAATACACTCGTACACACAAAATAAAAATAAGTAAAATTTTTTTTTAAAAAGGAGCATAGCAATCCCCCATACCCTTCCTTCCACTAAGAAACCGTACACAGCCCATATTCATTTCCCCATTTACCTTTATCATCATCAACTCCATCATCTCCTGGTGTATACCCCACAGCTTGGTCCTTCCCCCTCCCCCGCCCCTCCACATTACAAGCCCTTAGGGCACAGCAGCATGCAGCTGTCCATTCCATATCCATGCACTGGCAAAGACTCTGAGCCACACTCACAGCTGCTGATATAGAAACCTGCAAACAGGGCAGGGGATGAGGAGCTGGGAGGTAGTGGAAACATGGAGGCAGACCTGGGACAGGGTAACTGGAGGCTGTCACCCAGGGAATAGGATGAAAGATTCGGGGGGGGGGGTCCTCAGGACTCAGGAGACTTTCAGGCTGCACTCGCCTGAGGGCCAGAAGGTCATGTCCCCTCTGGAGGTGACAGACCTGCAGTTCGCCTTTTTTTTTTTTTTTTTTTTTGAGATAGGGTCTCCCTGTAGCCCCAGCTGGCCTGGAACTCACTGTGTAGACCAGACTGGCCTTGGACTCACAGAGATCCGCCTGCCTCTATCTCCCGAGTGCTTGGGACTAAAGGGGGCACCACCACAACAGACCAGTTTACTATTCTTTAGTGTTTCTGAAACTGCCGGAGAGCTGAGGGAAGGGGCTGAGACCAAGCTGCCCCAGCTCCATCCTCACCCTGGGAAAACTTTGGATTTGGAATTAAACAGGGGGTAAAAAATTTTCCCAGGGCTAGAGAGGTGGAGAGATGGCTCAGCTCTTGCAGAGGACCTGGATTCTGTTCCCAGTACACACATGGTGGCTAACAGCCATCCTTAACTCCCGTTCCAGAGAATCTGATGCCCTCTTCTGACCTCATATACAAAAACTAAATAAACAAAATTAATTTTAAAATGTTCCCAGAGGGTTGTGTGAGATGGCTCAGTGCCTGGCAACCTGAGTTCTATCCATAGGACCCATGCAGAGAAAAGAATCAGCTCATGCAAGTTAACTGCTGACCTTCACATGTGTGCTGTGGCACATGTATGCCCACATACTAAATAAATAAATGATTTTTTTTTAATTTCCAAAGGTCTGTAGAAACAGTTAGTTGAGTGGATAAAGAGCTTGACTCCCAAGTATGAGGACCAGAGTTGACATCCCCAGAACACACCTAAAAACTGGACATATGTGGCAGTCATCAGTAATCCCAGCATTCAGGAGACAAAGACAGGAGACCTAGACAGGTAGACTAGCTGAATCCTTGCACTCTGGGCTCAGTTAAGAGCCCCTATCTCAATAAATGAAGTGGAGAGACAGCTTAGCAGTTAAGAGCACTATTTGTTCTTTTAGCACCTACATGGTGGCTAACAACAAACAACTGTCCAAAACTTCTCTTCCAGGGATCCAACAGCCTTTTCTGGCTTCCACGGGCATTTTACACATGAGTACACTTACATACCTGTACATAAAACACTCATACACATTTTTAAAAGTAAAAATAAAGTGGAGAGTAAGGAAGACATTGACATCAATTTCAGGCATATATATGCCTGCATATACATGCACATGAATTTTCACACACATGCACCTACTTGTACAAACATGTGTATACATACATATACAGCACACACACACATTTATATATATATATATATATATATATAT